TGCCCATAGCATATGCAGACGGGGCACTTTGCTGGTGCGCTGGTCTGTTTTCAGTGGAAGCAGATACGGGAAGGCTCATTTTTATTATGTGGGCCATGTGCATTGCTGCGCCGGTGAGAGATAGGCATGCCAGAATCTCCATGATTGATCCCACAGCGTTTGCTTACTGTTGGATGGTACTGCCTATCAATCATTTCCAAAAGATCGGGTTTTCTTTTGAGAATCCTGTTAAGCAAGGATCATACCCCGTTTCGGGAATCATCATGTAGTAAGAATGACGGGTACAGATGTCATTAGGCTTTCTTTCTGGATACAGAAGCAGGAGTGTTCAAAGCCCATTTTCCTACAGCATCCACACGAAGCTCAAGCAGGATTGGAACATTTTACATCCACAAAATTAAGCGGCATGTCAAACTTCGTAAGTTCGAAAGTTCCGGACTTTTTGTGAAGATGTTCTACACCAAAAAATCAATAGGAAGCAATGTCCCTCGCTTGTTCTGAATGCTGAACCTGCCCTGTCATTCAATGATCGTGCACACGCTCACTATGTCAGGCCTCAGAGTTCTTGAACATGAATCTCTTTGCCATATCTTCAACAGGTGTCATCTTAACGCTGATATGTGCTGACACAGTGTGTGCTTGGATCAACGATGTCACAGCGGCCCCTTGCAAGAAAACACATTAACTGTAGCTTTCCAAAGAGATTTTTTCTGCGGTCCACGCTTGCTTGTTTGCCAGGATGGAGCCCGGCAATTGGCAACCGCCATGCGCAGTGCGAGGTGCGGGTGCCACAGCGGTCATATCTCAATTCAGGCTTTTGCAGTTAGGCGCTGTCATGTGAGTAGTAGTTTATTTGGGGGTATTATGGTACTCAATACAGAGTAAGATTATATCCTTCTTTTGGGTATAGTATTTATACAAGGATTATGACCTTACTAGGTTCAACCACCCCCAAAAATGCTACTCATATGGCCATAGTGTTCGGTCCGACCCTTGAAACATATCCAAACAGTTAGTCTGTTGACACTACGATCTCCAGTGACCTGGGAGTGAAAGGGCCTCCGATTTGGCATGCATTCGCTTTGTAGGGAACCTGGAACAGCAAAAACGGAAGAAAGGAGTTTAGGAGCAAACCCCTAGCCCAAACACTCCATAATGTAGTAGTTTTCATTCTCTCTGCCACTCAGAAGCGGATAGGACTACCATGGCCCCCCAATATGGACCCCGCAAAGAAATAGGCTCTAATCGGCATTGATAGCCCCAGAACATCCCAAAACCAGCCTTGAGTAGTTGATTTGGCGTTCAGGAGTTCTGGGTTTAGGGTTCACTATATATATGTATATGTTTATGTATGTATATGTATGTATATGTATGTATATGTAGTGTATATATATATATACATACCCACTTGTAACCGTACTTGCACGAGACCGTTAGAACTTGGTTTCTCCCCACCTAGCTATTGGATGGATCGGCTTTGGAACCTCGGCAGTAGGAAGGCCGCAATTGGTTTGACTTCACTTTATAATTCATAGAGGAGCGTTCCAAACTGCTGAGCACTGTAGGTTCCCCAGATATCGCTTAACCCAAACCCAGAAACCCTAAACCCTAAACACTAAATCCAAGGACAGTATGGGGTGTAGTGACAATCTTGAGAACCGTCCCTCCTGTTGATACTGTTGATAGAACCCTATATGCCCCTATGCCTCTCACTTGCATAATCCGAGCATCTCATTTTACATCTGACTCTACCCCGAACTCCTTCATTTAGGCTTAGAAGTACCCAAACTCAGGGGCCATTTAACCCCAACAGAGGGTACTAGGAGGGTCTTGGTAACTATAATGTCCCATCATGTCATCTCAGTTTCCATTTCATGTTCCATCTTTTCCGTTGGATGCCCCTAAACCCTTCACGGGCCTAAACCCTAAACCCTAAACCCTAAACCTTAAGACCCTAACCCCTAGACCTTAAAGCCGTAAACCCTAAACCCTAACGCCTAAAGGGATGCCTTTTGGAAGTTGCTTTTGCAGGGCATGTATTTTGCAGGCCTGATTGTTTTCCCTGGGCCATCATGGGGCCGTGTCTTAATGACAGTTCTCTGAGGGATTCGTTCTGCAGAGAGAAAAGGTCCGAGAGAAAAAAACACCCTTAAAACCCATGGATCGTTCGAGCTGTGGAGAAAAGGTCCCGCAAAAAAAAAAAACAACCTAAAAACTCTAGGCCCTAGAACCCTAAACCCTGAGCCCTTAATTTCCTGAGGCTGTCAAGGTTGGTCCTGGGACTTAATAGAAATGCGGCCAGCGTCTCAGGAAGTTTGAACTGGATGAATGTTAGGGATGCTTTATATTTTTTGGGGTAGGGGATTCCTTATACTTATGTGAGAATGATCCTTTTTTCTTCCTAAAGTAATGTGGGCTATGTGAAGTCGCCAGACAAAGGGATAATGGAAAAGAACATGGAAACGAACCTGTTATATTATAGTATGATATAGTAGCTTCTCTTTTTCATTATCCCTATGTAGCCCCAACATATCCCCTATCATATTATAACATAGTTTCCATTTTCTTTTCCATTATTCCTATGTAACCCCAATATATGCCCCTATATAATCCCTATATAACCCGTATATACATATATATATATATATTTAGACCCTGAGGTGTCAGAGGCCGGGGTGCAGGCTGAGCGACCAGATTGGGATTTGTGACAATTTTTCGTTCGGCAGATGAGCCCTCCTGGGCCAAAACGCACGTTTTCACAAGTGTTCCCTAGTGACAGGACATAGCCCATGCAGTGACGTCGCAGAAGCTACGAGATTTGGAGCCTTGCGCCCGATGTCAGTTGCATTTGAGATATCCGTATTATCAGCAACTGACTTTCGTGGTGAGGCTGGACCTTAGTGTCAGCAGTGTGGGTTGGGCAGGCAGACCAGAAGCACTTTCCGGCATGCTTCCACTAGTGAAATATCCTATGCCAGGTGCCCATGATCTTGGCATGGCAATTTCTTCGCTTGAGGCTCGTGCTCCATGAGGGAAATGTGGCTAGCTTGTGACATATGGAGTAAGCGCCTGCAGGGGCTTCAAAGCTTGACGCTCGATCTCAACGTGAACCACGTAGGCCCTCACCGGGACCTTCGCACCTTGTGTGGCCGACTTCATGGAGGTTTTGTGTCTCTGCAGGTTCTGCAGGTGCTCGTCTCTTGGCGCAGGCTGGCTAATGCTGCACGTGAAGGGGGTTTATCTCTCAGCATAGTGGAGCCTTGCAGGCTATCTCAGCGCAACATTCCCTTGTGGAATCCTTATACAAAATGCCCACGTCACGGTTGGCCTTTGCTCGTTTGTTGAGTGAGGTCAGCCTACGTTTCCTGGCCTCTGGAAACCGCATTCGTGAAGTGGGTGCACGCGAACTGTCACAGGCCTCATACTGCTGCAGCTTGCTCACGATTCCAAGGTGCAATGAAGCGAGTGCAAGCAACGGCAGGGATGGCAAGACTGTGCTTTGCGTAGTCAAATGTGCATGCCTGAAGCGCTCAAACTAGATCTGATCAGAAGATCTGTCCGGCATGTGACTTTGTAAGCCAGATGTATGATGCACAGGCGCTGACGTCATTGAGACGCCTCATCACCTTGGAGCTGGATGTTAGTGGCAATGGCATAGGCTTGAAGCTCTGCCTAAGTTCTTGTGCACTTGCAGAATTTGTCAAAGCTTCTGTAATCAGGTGATACTGGAGCATGCGAGCTGGCACGTGCCATGGGCTCCCTGGGAAAATTGAGCAGGCGCTGATGGTAGTGACATGATCTGCCAGTGTGCGAATCTACCCTGGCGCAGTAGGCTTCAAAACAGATGTGGGGTCCAGGCTCGTTGCCGACTTGCGCGGGAACCTCGTGGGAGATCATGGGGAGCGTGAGCTTGCCCGTGCGGTGGGTGCCTGGGCCTTGGCGAGCCAACCGCATCACGCAGGCTTCGCAGTGGCTGCGAAGTCTTTTTTGGTTCCAATGCCTTTTCCCCGAGGATTTACCCAAGCTGGAGCGCTTGGAGTTGCGCCTGGCTGGAAACTGCAGAACCGGGGTCGGGCCATGGCATCATGAGCTGAAGAACGCTGCCCCTTGCACGCAATTAAGATTCAGCTCTTTTTTCAGGGTTTCCTGCGAGTTTTGCCTGACATGCACTCTCTTAAGGTGCAGAAGTTGCAGACTGGTGGCTGCATTTGCGATTTCTCTTATTGATGCAGTTCAACCCTCCCGTCGGCCCGAGATTGCTGTGCCACGGATGCGCGGGCTTTTGACCCGCGGTTCTGAAGGCCATTGGCAAATGTCATCAGGCCCTTGTACAAAGTGTTTGCTGTGCAGTGGAAGTGGGTGTAATTTCCAAGCTGTGAAGTATCGAATGGAAGGTATGCAGTTTGCCGGTATGTAAGGCTTTTTCTCTTTGCGCAGTTTGCTCCATTTCCAACCTTTTGGTGGTTTTTGTACAGACGCAGAGCAGGGATCCGTGTACATATTTCGCTGTACTGCTTTGGATCCACTTTAACTTCGTGCTCTGCAACAGGAGGGAGGTCCTTTGCGCGTGCTGCGCATTCTTCGCTGTGAGGCTTGTGTGCATCCTATTGGCCTGCAGAGGCTTTGTGTAAACCAAGACTCCATTCAATGTTCCATTTTCCTTTCCATTCGATTTTCCGCTATTGGTGAGAACATCCCTAAATAGTTCCTATATAGCCCCACATAATGATTTGGGTATACGTTTAACTTAAACCCCTAACCCCCCCCCCGATCAGATATACCTAATTCTCAAGGATGCACTCAAGTTCTCAGGATGCAGAATTCAGGGTGCCCAGCCATGAAAGAAGATAGTGGCGACCCCTCAATCCCTAGGTCTTAATCCAGATGAAGTTTTCTTTGACGCGCTTGAAGCATTGAATCTTGCCCTTTGTGGAGAATTTGGAAAGAAGAGTTGAGTCATGCGATTTGCTGCAGTTTCAGTCCATGTGTTGTCTGCATGCTTGACCACTGACCTCGTGATGCTTCTGTATTTGATGCTGCTTTTTGGCCGTGCTGGCTCTGAGTACAGAGTCGAGCGCATGTAGGAACAGGAGCAGCCAGGGTGGTTTGCCCCGCAGTGGGATGCTTGTCTCAAGCATTTGCACCTGAAGTTTGCATGTTTGTTAAGTTCGTAGAGTGGCTCTGACATGCAGGGTCTTGGTACTTTGCTTTTTGTTGGCTGTGAGCAAGAGTAGACAACTTAGACCCATATATGCTGACAGCCGAATTGTCTCCAGGTCGGAGCAAGCATGGCGATGAACCCATCAAGTGTGTCCCAGCTCCTCGAAGACATGGAGAACTGGGACAAGGCATGCGAAAGCAAAGCGCGGAAAGCACGTCCCTCTAAATCCTAAGCCCTCAATAGTAGTTTCCGTTTCATTTTTTAATATCATCCCACAATAACATCAAAATATGTCCTATTAGAGCATTGTAGTTTCCATTTTATCTTCCATGTCCCCAATAGAACCCATTCGCAAAGCACTTCTCCCGCAAAGGTTTCGGCCGCTTGGCATTTTTTGCCTAGTGCCTCGTTTCGCCAGGAATACTTCTGTTGATTTTGCTCTTAATCCCAAAGGTATCCCTAAGCCTGATTCAATTCCCCCCTGCTGAAGCTTACCTCTTTCAGCGTTGCCAGAATCGCCCCAGGCGGACTGCCTCAGCCATGTTAGTGGAATGTTTAGGCTTTAGGGTTTACTGTTTAGAGTGGGTGATTGGAATGCATAGGGATCATTTCGATCAAAATTCAAAAGGGCTACCGCATGGATCAATGGCTTGTTCCCAACTGAGCTATAGTCTAAACTCCTCATATAGTGATTTTGGGGACAGGTTATTCAGGGGGGATACTAGGAGTTTAGACTACAACCCCTATAATCCCCTATGTAGTACCAGTTTCCATTTGATTCTCCATTTTTAAGGGGGATACTAGGAGTTTAGACACTGAACCCGAAATCCGAAGCCCGAAACCCTAAACCCTGAGCCCTATATCATGCGCTCATGAAGGGGGATACTAGGAGGTTAGACTATAGATCACATGATGCTCTACTTTAGGTGGACCCCCCACGCAGTAATAGTGACTATAAGGGATAATAGGGATTACATTAGGGTCCTCTTATATTCTTATTATACCACTATGACAGGGAGGGGGGTCCTCCTAACCTCTACTGAGCATTGGGGAAGTTGTCTTCCGGCAGGACAAGCGCTTCATGGCTGCTTCAGATTTAACGCAGGAGGCGGGGGGGGGTTCTTTTTTAGGGTTTAGGGTTTAGGGTTGGGTTATATAGGGATAATCAGAAAGAAAATGGAAACGATAGGGAGTATAGGGGCCATATAGGGGTTGTGTAGGACAATGTAGTGATTCTATCGGGGTTCTATTGGGGTAATGGCAAATAAAATGGAAACTATTATGTTCTAATAGGGAATATATTGGGGTAATATAGGGGAAATGGAAAAGAACATGGAAACTACTATTTTATAATAGGGAATACATTGGGGTTATATTGGGGTAATGGAAAATCGAATGGAAACTACTATTTAGGGTTTAGGATGTAAGTCCTCCGAACTTACCTTGTAAAAGTTCTAGACTCTCCAACACGGGACCAAAAGGGACTTCGGGTTTAGGGTTTAGGTACCTTGGTAAAGTATGTATATATATATATATAGATAGAGACTTCCCAAAAAGGGACCAAAAGGGACTTGGGGTTTAGGGTTTAGGGCCTCTATATTCCCCCACCCCTGGCAGTCCCAAGGGCACCTGTAGATTGAGAATCCGCAGGTGACGATGTCCAATCAGGCCTGGTCAGGAGTCTCGGTGTAGGGCCATAGGGCCAATAATCAACATCCCCTTAATCATATAGGATGGTACTAAACCTGGGAAGGGGGGGGTAGTTGTTTTTAGGGATCTTATCAACCCCAAGCCCTAAATAACAGTAATATGAGGTTGGGGAAGATTTGGAGATTTAGGGGCTTGCCAACTGCCGCATGTACAACATGAGCAACCACCTCTTGCAGGGACTTGCAAGTCGTTGAAGTTCCTCAGGGTCTTCAGCCATTTGTTTTGTCTGGAGAAAAGAAGGGAGACAAAAGTTGGCACCGTGTTTCCTCACTATGTGCATTTACACTGGAGGACGTTTTGGGGATGGGAGCACTTCAGCCATGTAGGGCTTATCTCCTGCAGGTGCTGGACGTGCACCTCCAAAAAAGAGTATGTCAAGCTTTTGTAAAGCAGTTGGAGGCTGGCTGACATGCTCCTCACAGGATTGTTGCTCGTTTTTCATGGTTCTTGAAGGACCAGAGCATTGACGTGCAGGGGAATGCCGTGACTGGGCATGATTGAAGACTTGCTGCACCGGCTTGATTTCGGATGCGTTCGCACCTGCTAGGTGAAGTGCCTGGCCAAAATAGTGTGCAAGTTTCAGGAGCAGCAGATTGGAGAGGCGCTTCAGACACAAGCTGCATGCAGCAGTTGTGAGAAATAGGCACACTGGCTTCAGCAACAGGTGCTAGCGAAGCTCAGCCAGCAGGTCCTGGATGGAAAAGCAGAGGTTCAGCCGCCAGTCTGCAGAAACTAGGGCAGTTTAGGGGGGGGAATTGCGCCAGGTTCGGGACATCTACGCAACATGCTTGAAGGGCCTGTTGTCGGAGCTGTTGCTTAGCTGCACCATGTAATATTCTTAGTAATATTATTAATATGAATAAATTATTAATATTAATAACACTATCTTTCGTAATATTATTAATACTAATGATATCACTAATATTAATAATACTAGTATTATTAGATTACTTGGTTTTTAGCTGCTCCTACGAAGCGCCTTTTTTGCCCCAGGCCGGCCTCTTGCAGCGCCCTTGCCGGCCAAAATGCATCAGTCCAAGTACCACAGCGCAGCAACCTTCCTAGTATAATAACAATAATAGTAATCCTAATAGTAATATAGTAATAATAAGAATGTTAATAGTAATATAGTAATAATAATAGTAATATAGTAATAATAAGAATGTTAATAGTAATATAGTAATAATAGTAGTAATATAGTAATAATAAGGATGTTAATAGCAATAGAATAATAATAGTAATAATAGCTTGCGTCATGGCTGTAGGATTGATCTGAGATCAATTAATTCAGGTGCCTAGCTAACAGGCCATGGATGCAAGACACCATGTAACAACTCGTCCGTGGGTGTTCAAAACTTGAAGCCTAGGTCCTGCCAAAGATGTTGCATGGCATCACCTCAATTCCGTCCCTCGAGGCGACTCGTCGGTTGGATATGTTTGAGATGCAATGTTGATAGTCATATGAAAGGTTAAAGAAGAATGCACAGATGTCTTCCACGACTTCTTGAAAAGATTCGGTGCAAGCCTCAGCTTGCAAATGCTGTTGCATTCTTTCGAAGAAAGTTCTTTACTAGTTCTTTATCAAGGAGCAACACTCTCCTGTTTACTGGGTTGGGGCATCTGGTAAGCGAAAAAGCTGTTTGGGGTGATTGCATGAAGCTGCTTGAGATTGAAATGGAATGCAGTGGGTGTGGTGGTAGTTTTGGTGGTGGTAATTAGTTGTGTTTGTAGTAGTTGTAGTAGAAGTAGTAGCAGTAGCAGTAATAACAGTAGTAGCAGAAGTAGCAAGCACCACGGCTCGAGTGACTCCACAGTGGGCTCTTGTAGTACTAGAAGGCCTGTTGATCGCTACCTATGCCATGGTCCCAGCCTGCGTGAAGGGAAAGCTTAGCTTGACTGCACTTACAGGCCTCTTGCTGAGACACCTGCCCCAAGTCCTGGAACTCTGACGTAAGTCCGACTTCGAGAATGAACACATGTTCTACATTGTAGATTGCCGTGCATGTGATGAGCGCTGGGACCTCCGCTGTTCATTGAACAAGGGGTCATGCCGACGGAGCTGAGATGCCATGGTTATATGGCGGTCGCAATGGATGTGCGTTGTAATATGCAGCCAAGGGCCACAAATTATAAGCCGACCCGGTCCCAAGTCCAGCACGAGGAGTAGTAAGAGTAACAAATTTTTCAACCAGAACAATACCTGTTCCTCGTGGTGTGAGGGCTGGGGGCCTGTCCGCAGGGTTCTCGGGAAGCCACCTGCAGGATGTGCCGTGAACAACACAACCTCTGAAGCTTTGCGGAGAACAGCTACTAAGGTGCGCGGTCCCATCCAATTCAGTTGGACAGTTCACCATGTGCGCATCTCTTGGGCCACACGTTTCCTTGTGTGCCGACCTCCGGCCACATGCTCTTCCTGTTTTCAAACTTGTGGTTATGCCCTGCCGGCTAGTTCTCCAAACTGGTGTTGCCGATGGTGATTGCCAATGAGGGCTCCATCTTCGGAATGTGGTGACTTGCTGCAGATTCATTCCTGCGCTTTTCCTTGCCCATATCCGGCGGCGGCAACTATAAAGCCTCGGTTCGGATTGCAATAGGACCCGGGCCCTATCGTTGAAAAATGCAGGCCCGCAGTCTTCCAGATCGTTGAGGCTATTCGCGCGATGCGCGGGGCCCGCTCTCTTGCAGAAGCTTTCCAAACAGCTGCTGCTGACATGTCGTCCACCATGTTCATGACTAACTGGGATTGCTCTTCATGACTGTCAATGGGTGTCCATCTTCGGGAAAGCGGCGTCATTCGCTGCGGATTGTTCGCTCCTGCTACACATGGCCTTCATGGGCCAGTGACTCATGCAGGCCTGCATTGCACAAGGTTGAAGAGGCAATATGCCCGATGCGAGGAGTCCTTGTAGCACCCGCGCGATGTGGAGGTCTACAGCTGGAACTGTTCAGAAAGTTTTCCTCCACTGGGCTGACCTGTTAGCGAGAACTTGTTGTATAGTGTACAGCGAAAGAACAAGCTCCTTGTACTGTTTGTGGGATGTTGACTGGAGTCATGTACATGGCTACTCGTAGCATTGACTCCCACTGTGGTTTTAGTGCATTCGATGCGTCGAGTCGAGCAGTCGCTGCCACTTAGCTGTTCATTATGTGATCAACGACCGGGTGTGCTTGAATGAGTGGAATAGCCGTGCTAGCAGTAGTAGTAGCAGTAGTAGCAGTAGTAGCAGTAGTAGCAGTAGTAGCAGTAGTAGCAGTAGTAGCAGTAGTAGCAGTAGTAGCAGTAGTGGCAGAGAAGCAGTAGTAGTGGTGGTAGTAGTAGTAGTAGTAGTCGTCGTGGTGGTGGTGGCCGTCGCCGTCGCTGCAGTAGCAGTCGTTGTCCTGGTCGTGGTGGTGGTCCCGGTGGTGGTCGCGGTGGTCGTGGTGGTGGTGGTGGTGGTTGCCTTAGTAGCAGTAGTAGCAGTAGCAGCAGTAGTAGCAGTAGCAGTAGCAGCAGCAGCAGCAGCAGCAGCAGGAGCAGGAGCAGGAGCAGTAGCAGTCGCAGTCGCAGTCGCAGTAGCAGTAGCAGCAGCAGCAGCAGTAGCAGTGGCAGTAGCAGTTGCAGTAGCGTGCAGCAGTAATATTAGTAGTAGTAGTAGTAGTAGTAATAGTAATAGTAGTATCACTGTTATCGCCCCTCTTGCGGAGAACAAGGAGGGAGTCAAACGGCAACGTTGGCGGGTGGGCTTACACTGTCCTCCCTCCGTTTTGGTGATGTAGTTCGTTCGCCCAACTCTCATGAATTCAAAAGCGAGATGCAAGTGTTGCTTTTCTTTGCCTCCCAGTCGTGCGTGCCAAACAATTGCGTCCCAACCAAAGACAGGCACAGCTCCCCTTGCAGGATTGATGTTGAGTGGTATCAGGGATGCGTGCCCAGCGCCATGAGGGACCTCAAAAGCATGGCAAGTGCAGCACATGCCCGCTGTGACGTGAAGACCCAAGAATCATGGACACTGCAAAGGAGAACGGAGTAACCTAGCCCAACAACACCAGGCATATAGTTGGGTACGTTGGTTTGCGAGAATATGGCGAAACGCCGCAAGCAAAGATGGAACATTTTTTCCGGTTTTGTTTCTGTTTCCCGCACCCTGGTTGTTGCATGTTGTTGCCAAATTTTGTTGGGGTTCGTCTCAATTGCTTTCTGAGTTTCTGCTGTGCATCCTTCTACTGTGCCATGCTACAGACCTCTGTGAATTGCTGACCATGTTGCAAGGGAGGGTTTGCTGGCAGTTTGCCGGTACCCAAATGTGCTGGTCAGTGCTGGGATACCGGGAAAAGGATGTTTTGTGAAGCAGGACCTTTGAACAGAAGACCTGTACCCAGCATCTTCTGCGGTTTTTCTTGTTCCAGAGCAGTCCATTACGTAGTCACATCAGCAGCAGCAGTTGCTGCAGTAGGAGCATGTAGGCTCTACTGATGGCATGCTTCAAGGGTCTGGGCACATCGAAACAGTTGCAACACTGCAGCACGCTAGCATGCTGTCAGCATGACTGTGTGCCCTCAGGTGACAACCGAATAATGCAGTGGTCCGATCAGGCGGGGAACCTTGTCATGGAGTCGGCGTAAAAATCTGCCTTGACATGCTTTGACTTCTCAGGATAACATGGCAACCTCGCTGCTGAATCTGTTGCTGAGCTGTTCTGGCAAAAGGCGGTCAAAACTCTTCAGTAGAGTCCTGAAAGCACAAATCAAGGTTAAAACCAAAGCAGCACAAAACATCGCTGCGCAAGAAGGTGCAGCCCTGAGACTAGGAGTTGTGTGTGGATGAGATAGGCAGATGAGCATCCTTCTGACAATAGAGGGAGTGGCACATCACTGGAGAAATCAGTAGAAGCGTATGTATGTACCGCAAGAGGCTATGGGGAAGCCTCACCCAGGGCAATCCCGCAGCCCAAATGTATAGGCAGCCATGGAGAGAGGTTGACTTACATCAACTGAATTGTGAGGTTATTGCCTGTATTGGAGCACTGTCGGCAGTGCTGGCGGATCGGCAACTGGATACCCTGATGAGGACAGAGTTTATATGCAGCTTGTGGGAACTGCAGTTTCCATTTTCTTTCCCGTTATCCCTATATAGCCCTTATAAAGCCCTTATATCACCCCTATATATCCCCTATCTAACCCCTATATAACCCCTATACAACCCTTATATAACCCTTATATAGCCCTTATATCACCCCTAAATAACCCCTATAACCCTTATATAACCCCTACATGACCCCTATGGGTGATCCTGTGCCCTGACAGGACATTGCTGGCCGATGTTCGGTCAGCAGGGACCAAGGCGGAAAAGCAGAAGCGCCTTGGCTGAGGATTTCGTAGACTTCGTGAAGTCACATATAGATGTATATGTATATATAGATAGATATACTGAGGTTACACAGGGGCTTCATAGGGATTTCTATAGGGATTATATTGGCTTATATGGGGGGTTAATCTCCACACGACCATCCTATGCATGCCTCATCTTTCATCCCTGGAAGCCTGAAGCCAGCCACGAGCAGATACGTCAGAAGGGTAGGACGACCTAGACATGAACGGATTACACATGTTAGGAACAAAGCATTTCAATTCGTCAACGGTCACCGTGCATCAACCAAACTTGTACAGAATCCCCATGTTTGGCATGACACGGTTTACGGTCTCTTTGTCCACGCGCAGCCTGGCATATGACTGACTGACTGACTGACTGACTGAGTGACTGACTGACGGACTGACAGGGGTTATAGAGGGATAATGGAAACATGAAAACGACTATATTGTAATAGGGTATATAATATGAAGGAGCTTGAGCATGTTTTCGTCAGGTATATCCAGTGCATTAGCACTGTGAGCAGGAACGTTGGCTGGAAGCTTAGCGTTTGAAGCTGATGGAGCCTCCCGTGAGCTGTTGCCTCGTGCAATCAGGTTTCCGAATCGGTCAGCACCTAAAGGAGATCGCTCCCCTGTTTTTCCAGATAGTGACCCAGGCCTTAGTCACCATGTTGCGTGTTTGAAAGCTTTGTGCAAGAATCTTGCGATGCATGCCAGGCGACGCAAGAGGACGTCTCCATGGATGGTGATAATGAAAAAGACCATGAGGTGTGCGATGCAGCGACAGGTAACTTGATCAGGCTCTTCTCTCGTGCCCTGCACCAAGGTTGTAGAGAACTGTCTGAACGCCTTCGAGTGCTTTGTGTTGCGCTGCTCCAAAGAGGAGGGGTTTTCGGTGGCTTGTGGGTAGGTTGTGTAGCAATCACGCCAATGTGCCATGGCGACTGTTTTGATGCATATTTACCATATGCATGTAAATATTCCCACTTGTATACGCACATATACCGATACACCTGTTAGTCGCATAGGCAGCAGAGATGCAAGCATATGTATATGTATACATATGTACGCACGTATGCTAGAGCAAGTTGCCAGCTGGCACCTGCTTTCAGATGATGCCCCACTTGGATGAGCTCTGCGGTGTGATCCTCAACCTGGTGGCTTATGATCCGAATTTCTACGATTCTGGTGACGGGCAGGCCGGCTCTGTGCGTGACTTGTGCCACTCGGTGGGTTTCCCAAAGCAGGGGTGTCTAAGGAGCTCAGGCATATTTCGGGATTTGATCGGGATTGTGCCGGAAAGGTTTTGGATCCTGTAGGGTAAAGTTTGAGAAATTTTCATCTGCTCTGAAACGAACATGAACTTGCCAAAGCAGGATGCCGCGATGGATGACGGCTTTGAGGAGTTCGATGAAGATGGCCTGGTGGATTCGGATGACGATGACAACTCATGGAAGGTTAGAAGAGCAGCTCTAAAGGCGAGAAGCTCAAGCTTTACATAACCCCAATATGCTATACAGTAATTTCCATTTTCCTTTCCACTATCCCATTGTAGCTATCCTTTTTGTGATAGTTCCTGTTATTTTTTATCAGTATCACTATTAGTATCACTATTACTTTTTTTTGGGAGAGCGGCTCTAAAGGTGAGAAGCTTATGGGTGCTTAGGGTTATGGGATTTGGGATATGGTAGGAGAATGGAAAAATGGAAGCCATGTGTTTGTTATACAGGGCCTGTAGGGGAAAGGAAAACAAGATAGAAACTAGAACATGGGTATGTTAGTCGAATGGAACAGAAGCTGAAAACTACTATCCCTGTAGAACCCTAGTGTCCATTTCATTTTGCATCTTCTTTTCCATTGGGGTAATTTCCGAAACCCTGAGCCCTCCCCTTTCCGAATCCAAATCCTCCGGATCCTCTGGAGGTCTTGGAGGCGATGGTGAAGGGCCTCCCAGATAGGCGCCTGCCAGCATTTTCGCCGCAAGTCATTGTCTTGTTCTGCGATTCAGCAGGCTCGATGAGATTTACACCAAGTTTGCCCAGCCCCTGATAGCACGCTTCAACGAGCGTGAGATACCTAGTCAAGCCAGCTGACTGGCGGGAAGCATGGGGACAGGTGATTTCTTGCTGAGCATGTTGTCAGGTGAGGAAAGCGTGAAGCTAGACGTTTTCACCACTTTCGGTGAGATGGCGCAAGCAGCGGTCATAAAGGCAGTTTGCGCTAAATGGAGTGTGCTGCCACTGGCCGGTGTCTGCTCGTTGAACATGTGCCAGACACAGCCCTTCCTGTTTGCTGCCACGGGCGGCGCTTCTGCGCCATCAACCTCATCCACCTTCATATTGGAGGTGTCGCTGCATCTGACTGCAAAATCCATCCACATCTACACGTAGCTGCAATAGCTTCATCATTTGAGCTTTGACCGCTGCAGGTGGAGCGTGCCTTGCCTCCCAAGGACCATGGGATCATCCTTCTCCAAGTCAGCTCGGTTGAAGTCTCGATGCAAGGAGCGGCCGAATTCCCACCACCTCATAGCCGTCATCCCTGCATGCATCTCACAGCTGAACAAGCAGATGCGTTCAAAGGCGGATTTGGGGATCTCACAGTCACAGAGCAACCCCATTCCATCAAGACTCAAGTGGCTGTGGCTTTGTTGCAGTGCAGGCAGCGAAGACTCGACAGGGGGCACTGACCCTTTTGCGAACGCTGCCAGAGACTTGCTTCTAACTTGTCACTGATATTGCCTCCTTCTAGCAACTACTTCTGCACTAAACTCTTATCCCACAAGCTCCCTTGCTGCCCCGACCGTGAAGCCGGAACTCTTGAATTCTGAATCTCAAGGCCTCAATCTTGAGCCTTAGACATTTCCTCGCAGAGCATAATCCTGGACAAATCTATGAGGCGAGAAATCGTGAACACAAAGTCCTCAAGCTTACCAGAGTTCACTCGGATCTCAAGAGTTTCAGGGGCTTGGAAGTGTGAACAGATCAGAGATGATCGAGACCATGCTTTCCAGTTGTTGGACTGTCATGATACAAAATCTCATAATGTGGCGTCATCCACATGCTTTGGCATATGACTAAGTGTGACTGAGACTGTGAGGATTGCACCGTACCGTACCCTGAATGTAACAATTACCTGGCCCGGACACAACGCAATCATTTCCCAGTTGGCGAAATCCAAGTAGCGACAATGATCGCCAAAAATTTCCATGAGTCCCAAGGCCAGGGGCCCGAATATGTTTGTTAAGTACAGGATCGATTCCAGGCGCTGCAGTTTCCAGCACCCTCAAGCACATGAACCTTCACATGATTCCTGAACCGCTGATGCACTGCAAACTGAAAACGGATGTGCAATGCGCAGGAAGAAGAGAACGGAGTGCCGCGGGGAGTCCAGAGCAAACTAAACCACTAGCTGCAAGCAAGACTCCACACGATCGTAGCCAGAACTTCACAACCCATCCTGTGCCTATTTCCTTGCCCAGGCTCATGCTTTAGGATTGTGCCATGCTTGTGTCTTGAAAAAGGTGGGATCCACAAGGTACACACCATATCTTCGAAAATTTTCCTATCGCTAAGCCGGCTAAGCCTTATGTGAGCCATGTGCACTCCTTATACAGACCCCCATAACCTAAAATCTACGTATACATATGTACATCTATATCATAAATTTACTTCCATACATGTAAAGATTTTTTCCGTGTACTGTGGAGCAAGCGGTTGCTCATTGCCAAGGTCCGAGTGCATCCCGCAGCATGTGGAGCCCAATTTCCCACAGGCAGCGCTTGCAGTGGCTCTGTCCGTCGATGATGTAAACATGCTTGCAAGTCTTGGTCCCAAAACCCTAAACCCTAAATATTAGTTTCCATTTTCTTTTTCATTATCCCAATATGACCCCTATATAATCCCTATAGAAACCCCTATAGTAGTCAATGGTACCCCTAATTTTGGGAAACCCCCATATACCCTAAACCCTAAATCCGGTCATTGGGTCACTGTAGAGTCTGAAGCCGCATACCAGGTGAAGGATGAGCTTGTCCGTGCCATGAAGGAATCAAACTCGTCCATGCGGTTGGACAGCCTGATTTTGACCAGGCACGCGGCCATGCGTATGAGCTATACTCTGAACTCCTTAAACTGGGTTATATAGGGGAGTATACAGGGGACTGTAGGCGTTGTTAAGGGGGATGCTAGGAGTTTAGACTATAACCCCTATAATCCCCTATATAATGCCAGTTTCCATTTCATTTTTCATTTTCTTTTCCATTTGATCCTCCATTATTAAGGGGGATACTAGGAGTTAAGACCCTAAACCCTAAACCCCAAACCCTAAACTCTAAACCCTAAACCCTATGTTACGGAGAGATGGAGTTGGCTCTGGTTGTCTTGGAGCTGGTGGTGGTGGTCCTGATGCTAGAAAACTATAGTCCCCCTTAAGTAGACAGAATCAGGGGTTATATTGGGATGATGGAAAAGAAAACGGAAACTAATATTTAGGGTTTAGGGTTTAGGGTATAGTCTCCCTGAAGTAGATGGAATATGGGGTATATGGGAATCTTATTGTAATATATCCAAAGCCATATTCTGTCCACTTAATGGGGACTATAGAATCACTGTTCCTGTTCTGATTTGCGTTTGCTCATGGCAATTCCCGGAGCATGTCTTCTGTTCCTGAGGCACCTTGCAGAGTACTTCTTGAATGCTGCAACTTTTCAGCAGCTTGCGCCAGAGCTGTGTCTGGGCCTAAAGATTGCACCGTGCTTTTCAACGCGTTGCAACGCAGCTCCCCAGGTCCTTTATTTTTGACGTGCTGCTCGGATAGCTACTACAAGTCAATTGCCCAGGCAGCCAGGGAAGACTTATTGTAGTACAAGTACCAGCCATGGTTTCGGAAGAGTTGGCAGCGGTGGCACTTGATTTGTTGACCCTGCAGGCCCTGAGAGCCATTGGGGCCTATGTCTACACACTCAGGCTTTGCTGGCGAGCCTTGCATGCCCCTACATCACCCTATATTACCCTACATTATCCCTGTATTACCCTACCTTACCCTTGTATTACCCCTATATTACCCCCATGGCAAGGGCCCAAGTCTTGCAGGAATAATCTCATATCACTCCAGGCCAACTCCAGAGGCTGTCAGCCCCGAGCTGAAAGTCATGCTGCCGGTTTATGACGTGCGCCGTTGCCTTTCAAGGCTGTGTAGCTACTTTGTGTGAACTGGATCGTAACGTGGGAAGCAGCCAGACCTCTAATTCCTCCGCAAGCACTACTTTGTTCATCCCTAAAGGCCAGAGAGGGTGGAAGCACTGTCAAAAGTCATCCCCTTGTTGCCTGCATGATCTGCTTTCCTGCTAGTAGCTTGGCTTGTCAGGTACTCAAGACCAAGCTCCTAGCGACTGATATCGACCAGGAGGCAGCCCGGAGACTTCTGGGCCATCAAATGATTGCATTCAAGAAAGCTTTCTTGTGAGGTCAAGGAAAGTGCGCTGGAGTGCTTGGGGCACTTGGTGGCGTGCACCGGGGACTGGGATTCGGTGCACATTGCAACATGACAGTCCATGCCAGGCTTGACATTTGCTGCTAGCTGACAAGCCATGCGCGCGTCCCTTTCAGCAGTAGAGCGAGTCGGTGAAGTTGCAAGGACTTGCCAGACTTCCAGCCGCCCATTTCAGACTGCTTGCCGTCCTTTGTGGAGCGCATCAAAAATGAGGTCCCGCAAATTGCGCATGCGTGCACATGATTGTGGTTTTGTACGACAGGCCTAGTGACATGTGCAGTTCAGTTCCTCAGGACGTGTGTGCATGTTTTGGCCTCTAACATTGATGTCCATCATTTGCAGTTGTCCCTACAACTAGCAGTCGTGCCTGAAGGGCAACTGGAGACTGCAGGTCACTAGAACAACAGCCATCAAAGCGCTCAGAACGATGTGCATCTCCAAAGTGACCCCTGCTTCTTTGCAGACTCCTCGGGGTCACTGGCACAGTCTCTGCAAAAACTGGGGTTTAGCATTCAGGGATATTACCCCGATCAAGGAGAATCACATGGAGCAAGAAATGGGAAAATTAAACTGTAAATGAACGTGGACAATGACATGATAACTAGTATACATAGATTCATCTAGGCTTTGTGTGTATACATATATACACTGACTAACTGTGAGGGTTATAGTATATACATTCATACCAGCCCCCGTTGGGAGGTACAGATCTCTGGTGTCAGCTCGATCCTTCCAGCCGCCTGGAGCTCAAAGTGATTCATGCGTGTTCCAAATCAAAGAAAGAATCCAGGCAATATACCTCTCATAATAAGGACTATAGTATTTTGGGGTCTATATTGGGGTCCCCTCATTTTGGGAAACTACCATATAGCCATACTATGGTAACTTCAAACCCTTTAAAGTCCAATGTAATTATTGCTGGAGTCCGTTGGGGCCCTCCATGCCGAAGCAGAGACAGTCATGACGACCAAAGGCAACATTTGACCCCAGGTCGGCGCCACGCTGTCGCAGTATCTGAGCCAGAACAGCCGATCCTTCAGGCGGGGGCTGAGTCCAGAGAAAACCCCGACATACTCTCTATGATCCTGCGATTCACTCTAAACCCTGAAGGCCTACACCCTTGAACCCTAAACCCTGACCCTAAGCCCTAAACCCTAAACTTTGGCTTGCGCCAGGTCAGGACTTTTGCTGTCAGAGGTGTGTGGAGAGATACCTTGTTGCTGCAGGCAGCAGTGCCTGGATGCGCTTGTGCATCTGATCAAGAAGTGACCTGCTTCATGAAGCTACCATAGTATGGCTATATGGTAGTTTTCCAAAATAAGGGGACCCCAATATGGACCCCAAAATACTATAGTCCTTATTATGAGAGGTATCCCTAATTTTGAGAAACTCCCATATAGTAAACAATAGGGTCTTGAATAGCTACCTGGGGGTTTCTCGACTTTTTTTGGGGGGTGTTGGGGAGCCCAAGGGATAGGGATTTCACGAGGACTAAGGGGGTCCCTATTCAGGATTATAGCGAGATCGTTAAAACAATCTCCCATGTGGGAGTTTCCTCGTGTACCAAAAGAATCAAAAATGGAATCTTCAGTTGGGACTTACATAATCTGTCTATAGGCCCCAAAAACAATCTCCATGTTGACAAGGTGCTATATACCCAGTTATACCCCAAACCCTAAATCCTGAATCCAAAGCCCGATAACTTGGGGAAACGTTGCCAGATCCCAGGTATGGTAGCGGAATGCCCCAGGAGACCATCATGCAGATTCTGGGCCCTCTCGGCATGTAGAGTAGAGTGTGGCTGAACAGAGAGGGTTCTACATGACCTATAGTCTAAACTCCTTAAAGAGGGTTGTACGGGGGATTATATGGGGTTTGGGGTTTAGGGTCTAAACTCCTGAGGGTGGGATTATGTAGGGGATTATATAGGGTTTTGGGTGAAGGGTTTAGGGCCTAAACTCTAAACTCCTTGCACGGGGTTTCTGTAGGGGATTATACAGGGGACTATTACAAGTGTTATGAAGGGGGATACTATGAGTTAACACAGAAGCTCACATGACAGGCTGGGTTTAGCCATGAGGTTCCAGAGTGAAGCGTTTGGGAAGACGTTGCGGCTTGAGAATCCAGAGGCCAAGACAGCTAAGCACGGCAAGTGCTAGGTGGTTTTCGGGTCGAAGCTGCAAGCAAGGCTGCAATCTCTGTGTGCGGTCAAGTGACACCCAGTAATCACGAGTACTGCAGACTGCGCGCCAGGTGACATGGTCCCATTCATCACGGATACGGACCTTTACATCACAGATCTCTGTGTGCAAATTGCAGTTCAGGTTTGCTTGCCTGTGGTTTCAAAACATCACTCAGCTTCTTCCAAATTTACGCCAGGTTTTGGCAACCTCACCGCGAATGGCACCGCAAGTCATTGAACGGTGTGTGACCAGCCCAGATTTCTGCAAGAGCACCTGCTCGCAGCATTATCCTTCGTATTGACGTAATTTCTAGAGGTGCCGGCCGTCCTGACCGTATGCAGATCGCCGCTGCTTCAAGGAAGTGCGTTAGCCGGGAGCTCGGATCCATTCGGCATGGATCGGGTGGTAATGTAAATGCTAGTAGCAACAGCGGTAAGAGTACTCGTAGTAATAGTAGTGGTGTTGACAACAGCAAGAAGACCAACAAACCCAAGTTGGTGCATGTCATTGACATTTCCGTAGATGATGCATGTTTGGCAACAGTCGTCTTGGTACCCATAGGCCAGAAAGAGCGCGTAGCAAGGCCGCGGTACGTGTGAAGCAGATTCTCCAACACACCTGAAGGGTACTTTCCCAAAATAGGAGTGCCCCAATATAGGCCCTAAAAACCATACACCTTATTTATGAAGACCCCCAAAAAGGTACCCCTAATTTTGGGAAGCCCTAAAGAACATCCTAAATAATAGCTTCCATTTTCTTTTCCATTATCTTTACTTATCCCTATATAACCCCTGTAAACTCCCAAAAAAGCACCCCTACTTTCGGGAAACCGCCTGCATCCTGCTTGCCTTCCTGCACAAACGGAAGCAGAACCTGCCTGATGAAGATTGACATTTGCATCAAAGGTTTAGGGTCTAGGGCTACAGCAAATCCATTGCTTGCATACTGATGGATTCAGCATATTGATAGATATTCTTGCCGGACCACAGTCGGCCACTGAAGCTGAATAAGTCCAGCTACAACATACCACAGCTGGTTTGCTGAGGACTCCATCCTCAACTTCTTGTCCAGAGTTGCGCAGCATCGTGAGCACTGCCCCTTTGAGAAGCTGCGTCAGGAGAATTCACTTTTGCTATCAATGTTCTTCCAGAATGTGAAATTGTATTATGTTGAGAGCAATCTTCAAGAGTTTGGCCTTTGTGAGGAGTTGAGCAACACCTCGGTAATTGCAAGCGCGCAGGCCCAGGCGCCTGGGTTCCCTGACATCCTTGGCTAAAGTTGGCCATCTTGCAAGAAGTGTGCCTGTGCTGGAGCCCTTGCAGGCTCAGCGACATGTCTCCCTGGCATGCCTTGGCAAAAGCCTGTTGTGTTTTGCTTGCTTGTAAGTGGAATTTCATGGAGTGTCTCAAAATTGTACCCCCCGAAATCAAGCATGCTTGGCATCGCGAAAGAGACGAAACACACACAGTTCAGGTTATCGGCACCTTGGCCAAGGGCTTGGCTGCGGTAACAGCAGCTTCTGCGCCTGATGTTCAGAAGGCCCGGAGCCATTTTTAAGTTGCTGAGCATCTGCATGGCTTTGTGGCAGGCGGCTGTGCAGCACTTCTTGGAGAGCGTGAAGAAGACTTCCGGGAACCCAGCACAGGAGGTGTGAAAGGGCATTCTGTGCTTTTGTCATGCTCATTGCTACTTGCAAGCAGGTCATGCATCAGTGTGAGCTGTCGCTGTTAGCTTTGGGCGAGACCGGAAAGTGCGCATCATGCACGGCTTCGACGGAAGCTTCAACCGACTGTGCTTTCGCATGTTGCAGAGAGTGTGCATCAAATGCAATCAAGAGAGTCCGCCGGTGTCTGAGCAGTTCATGCAGGTACGCAGATCTTTCTGGAGTTCCGGGCTTCTGCGATGTGTTGCTACATCAGCTGGAGAGTCAGCAGGAGACACGCCGGGGACAGCCACCTTTGTCATTGCTATCCTCTGGGCGCGGTTTGAGGATGAAATTCGGTTGGCAGCCGCGCTAGCACTGGGATATGTGCCCAACCTGAGCTGCAGCCGAAAAAAAACAGAATAAGTTGGGTGGAGCCCCCACCCTGTAATAGTGACTATAGGAGACAATAGGGCTTATAATGGATTATATTTGGGCCCGCAAATATTCCTATCATATCACTACGGGGTGGGGGTCCACCTAAATAAGAAGTCTATAGGGATTATAGAAGGATACGTAACCCCAACAATGGCGAATCAAATGGACGTTTAAATTGTCAACGACATGGAAGTTGGGATTATATCGGGGATGGTACTAGGATGACTGGAACTTAGGCCTTGTTTTTTTTTTGAAATGCTTTCTGAGGCCACAGTCGGCGCAATGGGCACCTTGTTGAAGGTTGTCATCGACAATGTGCAGCAGGCAATGTTGACAAAGATTCCTGCGCAACAACATTACTGGGGGTTAGTAGGGAATACGGGGAAATATAGGCGCGGGAGTCAGGAACCATGGAACCATGGA